TGTGGGCTAATGTTGGCTAATATTGGCTAACATGGGCTAACATTGGCTAACATGGGCTAACATGAGCTAATGTGGGCTAATGTTGGCTAATATTGGCTAACATGGGCTAACATTGGCTAACATGAGCTAACATTGGCTAACATGGGCTAACATGGACATTGGCTAACATGGGCCAATGTTGGCTAACATTGGCTAACATGGGCTAACATGGGCTAACATTGGCTAACATGGGCTAACATGGGCTAACATTGGCTAACATGGGCTAACATGGGCTAATGTGGGCTAACGTTGGCTAACATGGACTAACATTGGCTAACATGGGCTAATGTGGGCTAATATTGGCTAACATGGTCTAACATGAGCTAACATGGGCTAACATTAGCTAACATGGGCTAACATTAGCTAGCATGGGTTAAATAAAACGTCCCTGCCGTACCGTGGTGTAACAGTTTTCCAGGTTTTCATCAGGATGAAAAGAGAAAGAATTCTTCATCCATAAATGTGTCTTTTCTCACAGGGCGGGAAGATTCCCATCCGCTGGACCGCTCCAGAGGCGATCGCGTACCGAAAATTCACCTCAGCCAGCGACGTGTGGAGTTATGGGATAGTGATGTGGGAGGTGATGTCGTACGGAGAGCGCCCCTACTGGGAGATGTCCAACCAGGACGTAAGTGCCGTTTGGTTTTTTTCCGCGCCGTCATCATTTTCCGCGGTCTTTATCAGGAGCTGGACTTTGTCCAGTTGTCGAGGCGTCAACATTTTTTCACGTCCGTGTTTGACATCGTTAATTAAACACGGGTCCTGTTTTTTTTTTTAATCTGTACAAACAGTCGACGCGTCTACAGTCGGAGCGACGGGCCCAGTGCCAGAACATTTGTTGGACAAAATCTGAAACGGTGTTGGTTTGGACCCTGTCCAGATCCAGAGAATAGTCTGGCACCTAAACCCCCCCCCATCCCCCCTCCACGCCCAGAATACTGGTCTTATTTATTTGTTGGTGTGGAATAATGAATGAGAAGTGATGTGTGAATTAACGCTGTTCTCGTGATGGATGGACTGTTTTAAAGCCTTTTGCGACAAGGCGCTAGCTTCATTTTTCAAGAGACAGATGGCGCCGTTGAGGACGAGCTCTCTGCCAGGATCGTGCCAAAACTGGTGTCAAGATTGTTGGTTTAAGAATCCCGTGAACTGTAGCTGAGCTGGTGAAGCAGCGGTTTCACTCCAGACAAATGAAGACGTTTGTTTTTTTTTTTACTTTGTTTTTGATCTTTGTGATTTTAGATTCCACTGAAATTCAGATCAATTTTAAATTATTATTATTTTATTATCATTATTATTATACTGGTCATTACAGCACATGTGTTTTTGAACATGTTAAGGGCAGTGGTGACGGTGACGAGGGGGGGTTTGGGGGGGGTGGAGGAGAAGTGAGACCTCTGCTGGCAGGAGGTGGTGACTGGAGGTGACACTGTGCTTCATTATAAATATAACCATCAACCTGTCAGCTGTTACTGACTGTGACCATGAATATTCTGGGCTGGAACCAAAAGTTGTGTCTAAAAGTAAACAGAAC